TCCTCGATTGAGTATTCGAGAGGAGATAAGTTATAGATATAACAATGATCGACTGAAATATATCAACAAGTGGAAAGTAGCAATGCCAAGTCCTTTTTATCTTTGAATTAAATCACATATAACTCGTTCATCTTCGTGTTTAATTTAATTAAATCACTCAACAAACAAAACCCCCCTCATATTTACTCCTTTCGTTAAAAAGATAAATTATTCCTTTCCCTGTGGATACGAACTCTACTACGCTATACTACGTATTAGTGCTAGTATTGAAATTTATTTTGAGTGCACACACGACAAAGTGCACGTCAAATTTGGCGCCGTTGCCGGGGAAGGGCAATTAATTTTTCTTTTTATTAAAAAAAAAAAAATTATTTGAAGTATAAAGAGTTCCATTTCTTCTGAGCTTTGTTTGAGTATATGGTAAGAACCCGATCTATAAACGAAATCATCTACCAAACAAACCCCCAAACGGAACAAGCCTTCGAAAGGTTTAGGAATTTATTTCCGAATACTTCTTCGGGGGAATCATCAAGTGCTAGTTCTCAATCTAGCGAGACTGAAGAGCCAATTACTATGGCTCATGAAACGAGAACATTGAGGGAGCTCACGGCTCCGAATCTAGATCAACAGCCCCTATGTATCACTTTTCCAACTCTGGATATGGGGGTCACATTTGAGCTAAAATCTGGGCTCATTCATCTCCTTCCATCATTCCATGGCTTACGAGGGGAGGATCCAAACAAACACCTGTCGGAGTTCCACATTGTGTGCACAAGCATGTGCCCCAATGGTGTCTCTGAGGAGCAGATCAAACTGAGAGCCTTCCCATTCTCCTTGAAGGACACCGCGAAGGATTGGCTTTTCTATCTTCCTTCGGGAAGTATCACTACATGGCCACAAATGAAGAAGGCCTTTCTTGACAGGTACTACCCCGCTTCTATTTCATCATCACTCAAGAAGCAAATAAGCAACATCGAACAAAAAGATGATGAATCCCTATATGAATATTGGGAGAGATTCAAGAAGCTATGTGCAAGTTGCCCCTATCACGGATACACCGAACAAGACCTCATCCTCTACTTCTATGATGGTCTTGTGGATCAAGATCGTCGCATGGTGAATGCGGCGTGTGGAGGGGGCATTGTCAACAAAACCCCTTCACAAGCGAGAGATCTCATCTCGGAGTTGGCCGAGAACTCCAGACACTATAACGGGCGGTCCTCACTCGGAGGGTTATGGCAGCAGAATCCAACAACACGTTGGAAAGTCAAGTGAACGGCTTGACAAGTCAAGTGACCGGCTTGACTTCTTTGGTTAAGGATTTCCTTTTAAAATCCAAGGCCCAAGAAGTCAAGGTCTGCGGTATCTGTACACAACAAGGGCATCCCACGGACTCATGCCCAACTCTTCAAGAGGACACCACAGAGCAAGTCAACGCCTTGGGTTTCCAGGGCCACCAACAAAGGAGGTATGACCCGTTCTCAAATTCTTACAATCCCGGATTTAGGGATCATCCAAACTTGAGGTATGGAAACCCTCAACAAGCCAACCCACCTTCTCAATCGAGTATGTCTACGGAAGACATGATTCGAACTCTTGCCACTACCATGGGCACCTTACAACAAAACGTGGTGCAATTTCAACAAGAAACAAAGTCAAGCATTCAAAATTTGGAAACTCAAGTTAGCCAAATTTCGAATGCTGTAAATCGACTTGAAGCAAGAGATTCAGGTAGGCTTCCCTCCCAAACTGAGCAGAACCCAAGGCAACAAGTCAATGCCATCATGCTAAGGAGTAGCCCAGAATTACAAGCAAAGGAAGTTGAAAACGAGGAGGTTGACCACAAGGAGGAGGAACCAACGAAGACAAAATTTCCTCCGCTTTCATCATATGAACCAATCCCTCCATTCCCTGAGGCATTGAAAGACACAAGGAAGCTAGAGAGTGATCGGGACATCTATGAGACCTTCGCGAATTGTGAGGTAAATATCCCACTCTTTAAACTAATCAAAAGTGTTCCCCGTTATGCAAAGTTCTTAAAAGAACTATGTATAATGAAAAGAAGAGATAAATTAAAGGGGAAACAAAAGGTTGAAGTTAGTGAGCATGTCTCGGCCATCTTTCAGGAAAAACTTCCAAAAAAATGTAGCGACCCAGGCATGTTCACTATTCCTTGCACGATAGGAAACGCCACATTTCCTAAGGCCTTATTAGATTTAGGGGCATCTATAAACGTCATTCCTTATTCCGTTTATAAAACCCTACAACTTGGCCCACTACATCAAACCGGTGTGGTGATTCAACTAGCAGATCGTTCTAGTACCTACCCGAAAGGTGTATTAGAAGATGTGCTAGTAGAAGTAGAGAATATGGTTTTTCCCGTCGACTTCTACGTCCTCGAAATGGGGAATGATGACCAAACAACGCCCATCCTTTTGGGAAGACCCTTCTTAAAGACCGCAAAAACAAAAATTGACGTGTCTAGTGGTTCATTAACTTTAGAGTTCAATGACCAAAAAGTAGAGTTCAATATCTTTGACTCTACGAAAAAAAATTAAAGATCAATCTCTTTCTTCTTTAAATGTTTTTGAACCACCAACACCAAATGTTTTAATTGAGTTGGGAACAAAGAAGAAGGGTCAGCCTTACTGGAAAAGGCTAAAGAAAAGAAATGACGGAAGGGATGCTCACGATCCCACATAAAATAAAAACAAAAATAAATAAAACGTCGTGCCACGACGTTAAATAAAGCGCTTCTTGGGAGGCAACCCATGCAAGGTATGTTTTCTTTTCATTTTTTTTTTCGAATGTCAACTTTTGGGAGAATGGGAGGAAATTCTCAAAAAGAAAATAAGGGAAAAATAATATTTTCAAGGCCTGGGGAAACCCCCGATCGGTCATCATCAGTTACCCGATCGGATCCATGCCGAAAAGAGGATTAAAATGGACCAAACAAAAATTCCAGGCTAATGTACCCGATCGAGTAATAGTCCTACTCGGTCGGGTATAGAGTAAAAAGGGGAAGAAGGGGGATCGAGTACCCCATACTCGATCGGCCAAAAGATAAAAAATGATCGAATACTCGATCGGGTATACCTCATACTCGATCGGGTAATCGACCCCTGGAGCCAATTTGAAAAATCCGCAAAATACCCGATCGAGTAAATTTATATACTCGATCGAGTATATTTCCAAAAAAATCCTACGGCGCCTAAAATTCGATCGAGTATACCCCATACTCGATCGAGTACACAAACCTGGAACCATTTTTTTAGAAAAGAGGGTATACCCGATCGGGTATATTAATATACTCGATCGAGTATATTTACGGAAAATCCTACGGCGAGGAAAACTCGATCGAGTATGGGGTATACTCGATCGAGCCCGATCCCGGAACAAGAACAAAAGAAGGCATACCCGATCGAGTAATCGGGGTACCCGATCGGGTACACGAACTTTAAACGTGAAACAGAAGCCGAAATCAGCCACTTCATCTTCCCCAAATCCCAAATTTCGAACCTCCTCTCCCAAATCCACCATTTTCACACCTTCAAACTCCCATATCTTCCTCAATACTCAACCAAATTCCCTCATATCACCACCAAAACACTCCCCTCACCCTCCTCTACAACCTCATACAAATTAATCCCTCTCTCTCTCTCCATTTCCAAAAATCCGAAAACCTACCCCCAAAACTCCAACTCCGAACCCAACCTCCCTATTTGCTAAAAAATGGCACCAAAAAGGAACCAACCGGAGGGCTCTAACGCAAGGGGACCTATTCGAGGCTACGAGGATGTTCAATTTGGCCCGGGGGATCATCGCAAGCGATTTGTGGCCGTCCTAAAAAGGCAAGTCATTCCGTCTCGTTTCTTATGTCATGAAGCTCTTACTTCTCTTGGTTTGTTGGATGGTATGAGAGAGCTTTTTGATGAATTGCATATGACCTTAATTTTTAATTTGCAATATAATTGTAATGAAAGGGTTATATATGAATTTTTGAGCTCGGCCAAGTTTGTATTGGATGAAAATCATTTTTATGATGATACACTCTCGTTTCGGTTGATGAACACCGAATACACCATAACGAGACGTGATTTTGCCGAGCATTTCGGGCTCCGATTCCCACATGAGAGGGAAATCCCGGACAATACCATGGATGCTTATAATCTTTGGGGTAAAATGACCGGAGAACGGAATTTTAGCACGTCTCAACTATACATTAGTCACGTGCAACATCCCCTTCTCCGAATTTTCCTCAAGTTTTTGTGCAACTCTTTACTTGGACGCCCCAACAACCATCACACTCGGATAGGGGATGTAGCCATTCTCACTCTTGCTCTTTTCCGCAATCCCGTTGAGTTCAACATTTGCAACTTGATTTGGGAACATCTAGAGAAGGCTATCACCAAAGGGGGGAACATTGTTTTAGGGGGTGTCATCATGCATTTGGCTTCCAAATTTGACTATGTGGATAATGCCACAATCTCTAGAGATTCATTGATGCATCTTGGATGGTTGTCCAATGCACAATTGATCTCTTTGGGCAACAAAGACCACAACGGAACCCAACGATATAGATGGCACATGAAGTACCCCGAACCGGTCAAATACTTCCCCCTCCCATGCGATGAATTACCTAGACTTAGGTACAAGATGGAACCCGCTCACATTCCACATTACCTCCTCCCCAACAACATTCCACCTCATCTCCAAGCTCAAGCCGACCAAGCCGAACAACCCAATCCCCAACCGGAGCAACCCGAGCACCAAGAGGGATATGAACATGTCCAACATGATATCCCCGACCTCCCCCAAAACCCGCCACCACAAGACTTCTCCCAACAACTCTTGGCGGGTCAACAATCCCTCTTAACCGGTTTCCAAACAATGAGCCTTGATTACACAAAAATGGGAGAGCAATTCACCCAACTTCAAGGGGAGATAGGCCACTACCGGAACGAGCAACAAGAAAGAGACCGGCGATTTGATGCATACCGGGAGGAGCAACGGTTGGCTTTTCAAAGGTTGGAGGAACAACGGGCGGCCGACTTGCAACGATACGAGGAAGACTACCGGAGGATGTATGGGCCGACATATTCTTACATGTCCCAACTTGGCGGGTTTGCATCTATGGCCTCACCACCACCGGCACCTTCTTGGTATAACCCCTCCGATTGGGGTAATTTTGGCGGCTCTAGTTCCGGCATGGGTGGTTATGATGGCGGGGACACTACCATGGGCGAGGGAGGAGGTGATGACATGCATGGGAGCGGCTTTGGCGGAGGCTACTATGGTGGCGAGGGCGGGCACTAGGGATAGTGCCATGCTTCAAGTGTGGGGGAGGAAGATTTCTCTTTTGGTATGTACACTCCTTTATTTCTACCTTGTACTAAGCATTATTTTCTTGTATTAGTTACACAAAAAAAAAATTGTAATAATAGAAATGAAATGCTAGTTAGGTTGAAAACCCAAAAGGGCAATCTAAGCAACAAGGACTTACAAAAAAAATGAGTGAGTGGTAAGAAAAGGAAAAGAAAAGAGATGCTAGGATGAAAACCTGAAAAGGCTCCTAGGCAAAATGAGAGATATGAGAGAAATTTTTTTTTTCTATTTTGCAGGACACCATCTCTTGAAGAAGAAGAAGAAGAAGAAGAAGGAGAGAAGATGAGAAAAAGAAGAAATAGGAAGCATAGAAGACCGTTAAACCCAAGGAAATGTTGTTTTGTAACTTCATTCACTATACTTGGTGGTTTTAGTTTCTTATTTCTTCCTCTCTATGCACTCATGATCTTGTGATAAACATTGTATAAACATTTGGTTTTACTCGAGGTCGAGTAAAGGAACTAAGTGTGGGGGAGTTGACATTCATGTTATTTCCGTGTTTATAATTGTGTTTTTGATTAGTTTTGAGTGATTGTTACTCTAGAAATTACACACTTTTGGTGTAATAGTTTAGTTTGTAAAATGTTTGTAAATTGTTTAGATTAGGTTGGTTCTGAGCTCAAACAGGTCCAAGACCACTCTAGGGACCATTGGTAAACATCACAAATGGAAGGAAGGTGCAAAGATTTCAAGAAAAGATGAAGATTCTGATTTTTGGTAGTGTACCCGGTCGAGTATGCTCTATACCCGATCGGGTAAGTTGCTGAAAAGTCAAATCGAATCAACCCGGGAACAAGGCAACATGCAGGAGGATTTTTTAACTCGATCGCGTATCCATACCCGATCGGGTGGCCGACATACCCGATCGGGTATGACCCCAGATTTTCAGTTTCGAGGAAATAACCCTTACCCGATCGGTTGGGCTGAAAACCCGATCGGGTACACGACCCTGCAGGCCTAAAAAGCCTATAAATACACCACATTTCCTCCACAAAAAAAGACACCAATTCCTTTATACTTCTAAGCTCAGTTTAGACAAGTTCCTTCTTTATATTTTATCATGTTTAGTCTCCAAATGAGGAGCTAAACTTCCATTTCTTGGTGTTGCTCTTGAAGCTTGTTGATTATTAAAGTTGTGAGTTATTTTCTTAACTTCTTTCCTTGAATATTAATGTTTCTCTTAAATACTATTTCTATATCAATGTTGGGGAGTGTTGCTAAGATGACAATTAGTTAACATCTTGACATTGGTCTTAGTAATAGCTATCCCTTCCTCTATGTTAATATTGGGGAGTGTTACTAAGATGACAATTAGTTAACATCTTGATATTAACTATAGTAGGATTCATTTTCCTTAATATTCTTCCTTGAGTATTAATTAATTCTTATTCATATTTCATATTAATATTTTTGAACATTACTTAAAGGATCAACTAGTTTTGTTTCAAATATTAATTATTACTAGAAACGATCAACGAACCGATGGTTAATCGTTGATGGTTTCACAAGTAAGTAACTTCGGTTTATTAATGCACGGTCGTGGTTAGTAAACTTAAGAGGGATTAATTTTGTTGGTTAAACCAAAACCGTTGTGTTGAGGTTATCAATCTCAATTGATTTCATCAAGGAGTTAAGAGATTAAATGCTACTATCAAGTAGGTATATGACGTTGTTCTATACTTGACTAATAGTAAGGGTTATTAATGAACGGTCGTTGTTAATAACTTTCCTCGATGAATTGGATATACTCCTCGATTGAGTATTCCAGAGGAGATAAGTTATAGATATAACAATGATCGACTGAAATATATCAACAAGTGGAAAGTAGCAATGCCAAGTCCTTTTTATCTTTGAATTAAATCACATATAACTCGTTCATCTTCGTGTTTAATTTAATTAAATCACTCAACAAACAAAACCCCCCTCATATTTACTCCTTTCGTTAAAAAGATAAATTATTCCTTTCCCTGTGGATACGAACTCTACTACGCTATACTACGTATTAGTGCTAGTATTGAAATTTATTTTGAGTGCACACACGACAAAGTGCACGTCAGAGGATTTGGAGACCGTGGGTTGCTTTTTGGACCGCCAAGATATGAGGTTGGATCCCAGAAAACAGCATATCCAGTGGTGGAACGTGAACTATCTGGACATCCGGCCCAGTCGGCATCAGAGTATGCCATAATAACGGAAATATTTTTATCAGATTTGATCCATAGGCCGTGAGCAGAAGTCCCCTGTAAATACCTGTAAATTCTCTTAACACCTAACAAATGAGTGGTACAGGGAGCATGCATAAACTGGGATACCAAATGAACAACATATGTAATATCAGGTCTAGTGATAATCAAATACTGAAGAGCACCTACCATACTGCGATACTCAGTAGCATCAGATAAAAGTTCCCCATCTGTGAGAGACAAGGTGGTGCGTGAAGGTAGGGGGGTGCACACAGGCTTGACTGTGTGAAGGTGGAAACGATGTAAAAGATCAGAAATGTATTTAGCCTGTGACAAAAATAATCCGTTGGGCGTGCGTTTGGCCTGAATACCCAAGAAATAATGCACATCACCCAGATCTTTCATAGCAAACTGAAGGGATAAGGTATGTATAATAGACATAACAAAAGAGGAAGAGGAACCAGTAATAAGAATATCGTCCACATATAGAAGAATATAGACCACCTGAGAACGAGAGCGAAAAACAAACATAGAAGAATCAGATTTACTTTGAGTAAAACCCTTACTCAATAAAAACCCACTGAACCTATGAAACCAGGCTCGAGGAGCCTGTTTCAGACCATAAAGTGCTTTTCGCAGACGACATACATGAGTAGGAAAGGAGGGATGAATAAAACCTTGCGGTTGACGCATATAGACCTCTTCAGTTAAAGAACCATGTAAGAAATCATTTTTCACATCAAGTTGTCTAAGAGACCACCCCAAAGAAACTGCAATCGACAAAACAAGAAGAACAGTGGTGGGTTTAACGACATGACTAAAAGTTTCAGTGAAATCAATGCCAGCCTGTTGTTTAAAACCCTGAGCAACTAATCGAGCTTTATGGCGTTCAACAGACCCATCATAACAATATTTTGTCTTATAAATCCACTTACAACCAACCACATTTTTAGTGTGATCCCAAGGTACTAAATCCCAAGTTTTATTAGCAATTAAAGCATTAAATTCATAAGCCATGGCTGCCCGCCAAAACCTCACTTTTATTTGTCTGTGTAAAACAAGTCGGATCATCCGGGGGAGCTAAAACATTGAGATTAAAAATCTGTTTGGGTTTGAAAATACCATTCTTAGCGCGTGTGCGCATAGGATGGATGTTGGTAGAATGAACCGGTAGAGTACTGAGCAAAGGGGAGGGGATAGGGCTATGATTAGGTGTGGGTGATGGACTGCTAGTCGAGGTAGATGGACTGTCAGTGGCAGCTGGGGTTCGAATATTGGTCTCGGCAGTAGGTAAAATTAATGGAGATGTGATACTGGAGGCTGGTGTATGATACTGGAGATGGGATGGTGTGGAATTTCTGGGTGAATGTTGAGACTCTATCCTAGGTGTATGAGGGTCAGATGGGGTATTTATGGGTGAAGTATTTAGCGGGCTGGGTATGCTGGATAGGAAATGACCAGCTGGGGAAGATGAGTGACGTGATGAAGTGGAAAGCCAGGAGGGAGGAAGATTTGAGGTATATGGAGTCTGGGTCGGTACTAGGGAAGGATAGGGGAAGATATTCTCGTGAAAAATTACATCCCGACTCACATAAACTCGACCAGTTGAAGGAGAAAGGCAGCGGTAGCCTTTATAGCCCGGTGCATAGCCAATAAAGACACAATAGATAGAGCGGGGTGATAGCTTGTTATGAGAGGCAACAATAAAATTCGGAAAACATGAGCAACCAAACACACGCATGAAATTATAATCTGGAATTTTATTAAAAAGTTTCTCGTAGGGTGTGATTCCGTTCAAAATTGGTGTAGGAAGACAATTTATAATGAACGTGGCAGTATAAAGAGCATCGACCCAGAATTTACTAGGAATAGAAGACTCAATCAAAATAGTCCTAGTTAATTCTAGTAGATGTCTGTGTTTGTGTTCTGCAACACCATTTTGAGACGGAGTGTCAGGACAAGACTTCCTAAGTAAAATGCCAGATTTCGAAAAATGCTCTCGAAAAATATTGTTATCAAATTCACCCCCTCCGTCACTTTGAAAAACTTTGTTTTTGGAATTCAAAATATTTTCAGCTAGTTTCTGAAAATTTAAAAAGTGAGTAAATACTTCAGACTTCCTATGCATCGGATAAACCCAAGCATAGCGAGAAAAATCATCAATAAATGAAACATAATATTTGAAGCCAAGATTAGACAACACTGGTGATTGCCAAACATAAGAATGAATAATTTGTAGAGGTGCAGTAGAATCATGAGTAATATCAGTGAAAGGAAGTCTGTGAGATTTACCCAGTTTACAAGAAACACAATCGTGAACAAAAGAGGAGGAAGTAGAAATTAATTTATGCTGCCTAAGTCTACCAAGAATCCTATCACCACAATGCCTCAGTCGCTTGTGCCAAACTGAACCGGGTACAACACGGGCTTGAAGGGCTTGGAAAAGGTAAACATGATCTTTATTAAGTGCCTGAAGAAGAAGCTCCCCCGTGTGGTTGTCCTTAACAGAAAAAGAGTTTTTATCAAAAATCACTTGACAATCATTATCCGCACATAATTTTTGAATAGACAGTAAATTATATTTAATATGTGGGACATGATAAACAGAGTTAAGATTTAGCGGGCGACCATGAGTGACCAGCTTTAAATGGCCAATATTAGAAATAAGAAATTTCATACCGTTAGCAACACACACTTGATTCGGGCCGGTGTAAGGAGTTTTATAAGAAAAAATACCTCCATGAGGAGTCATATGAGCGGAAGCCCCAGAGTTAGGATACCAGACCGAATCATTGTTTTCACCAGTAGGTAATGCAGCGAGAGCCGGGGCATGGGAGGCAGTGAAACGGGAACAATGAAGTGCTGAGTGACCTGGAGAAAAACACAACTGACACACAATCGGGGGGGGGGGGGGGGGGGGGGGTGACTGGTAGGACTGATCCACAAACGGGAAACCTGCATAAGTGTTATGAGTAGAAGAAATAGGATAATAAACAGTACAATTATTTCAGAACTAACATTACACAATGCCAAATCTGGTACTCCAGTAAAAGCTGGTGCTCTTGGCACCTGGGGAGCTGGCTGCTGCGGGTACCCCGCATAGTGCTGCGGCTGACCTCCATAAGGTTGCTGGTAGTAACCACGTCCACCGCCACGGCCCCGTCCACCACGAGCTCGGCCTCCTCTATGTCCCCGACCACCAGGACCACGCGGCTGTTCACCACCACCACGTG